CATGTTGTCGTTAATGGCACATGTTGTATCAAGGCCTGGATGTGCACTCCTGCAGCATACATCCTCCATTTATTATTATTATTATTATTATTATTATTATTATTATTATGTTTCATTTAATTACACCAATAATCTGATTCAGTATCAGGCGGCAATGCATACATACATACATACATACATACATACACACACACATCTATGCACCAAGCTGAATGAGGTCACACCTGTGCACATCCACATGGTTTATGGGGGTCGTGGTTGCAGTAGTTGGGCTTAAGACTGCTTCTCAGTGTCAGAGCGGGACGATCCCAGGCAAAATGCAGTGTGTCTTCTCAGAGGACTCCTGCTACAGAGGAGTCAGGGGTGCTATAGAACTGCCACCCTTTAAGAGCAAGACATGTGGGGTGCCTCAGGGTTCTGTCCTCTCCCCCATGCTTTTCAACATTTACATGCAGCCACTGGGAGAGATCATCAGGAGGTTTGGGCTGGGCGTTCATCAGTATGCAGATGATACCCAGCTCTACCTCTCTTTTAAATCAGAACCAGTGAAGGCGGTGAAGGTCCTGTGTGAGTGCCTGGAGGCGGTTGGAGGATGGATGGCAGCTAACAGATTGAGGTTGAATCCTGACAAGACAGAAGTACTGTTTTGGGGGACAGGAGGCGGGCAGGTGTGGAGGATTCCCTGGTCCTGAATGGGTAACTGTGCCCCTGAAGGATCAGGAGCGCAGCCTGGGAGTCATTTTGGACTCACAGCTGTCCATGGAGGCACAGGTCAAATCTGTGTCCAGGGCAGCTGTTTACCAGCTCCATTTGGTACGTAGGCTGAGACCCTATCTGCCTGCGGACTGTCTCGCCAGAGTGGTGCATGCTCTGGTTATCTTCCGCTTGGACTACTGCAATGTGCTCTACGTAGGGCTACCTTTGAAGGTGACTCAGAAACTACAACTAATCCAGAATGCGGCAGCTAGACTGGTGACTGGGGGCGGCCGCCGAGACCATATAACACCGGTCTTGAAAGACCTACATTGGCTCCCAGTACGTTTCTGAGCACAATTCAAAGTGTTGGTGCTGACATTTAAAGCCCTAAACGGCCTCAGTCCAGTATACCTGAAGGAGCGTCTCCACCCCCATCGTTCTGCCCGGACGCTGAGGTCCAGCGCCTAGGGCCTTCTGGCGGTTCCCTCATTGCGAGAAGCAAAGCTACAGGGAACCAGGCAGAGGGCCTTCTGGGTAGTGGCACCCGCCCTGTGGAATGCCCTCCCACCAGATGTCAAAGCGATAAACAACTACCTGACATTCAGAAGACATCTTAAGGCAGCCCTGTTCAGGGAAGTTTTTAACGTGTGATATGTTAGTGTATTTTTTATTTCTATGGAAGCCGCCCAGAGTGGCTGGGGAGGCCCAGCCAGATGGGCGGGGTATAAATAATATATTATTATTATTATTATTATTATTATTATTATTATTATTACCCCTGCACCCACAACATGCTGTGTAACAAAATTATTTGCCTTGACAAGCAGAAAGTCACAGGCACCAGAATGTTGACATTCTACTGCAAGAAGGAAAAACACACCATCGTGAGGTTAAATAAAAGCACAAGCAATGCTGCGATGTTGGTTTTCTGGGATATTTTCAAGCAACACCTTTTTTTTTCCTTTGCAAATTGAGGACAGCTAATGGTGGAAGGAAACTGCATGACTGAATCCTTCCCCAAAGGGAAGTTTCCCTGCACACAGAAATCTAGTACCTCAGGGAGGAGGATGCCCTCCTCTCCCAAACATCACTTTTTAATCAGAGTTGGGTTGTTTAAAAATGCAAGGACAAGGGACATTCAGTTATGTGAAACTGCCCCTCCTCACCGCAATCTAAAGTAGTATAGTATACAGTGGTACCTCGGGTTACATACGCTTCAGGTTACATACGCTTCAGGTTACAGACTCTGCTAACCCAGAAATAGTGCTTCAGGTTAAGAACTTTGCTTCAGAATGAGAACAGAAATCGTGCTCCGGTGGCGCGGCAGCAGCGGGAGGCCCCATTAGCTAAAGTGGTGCTTCAGGTTAAGAACAGTTTCAGGTTAAGAACGGACCTCCAGAATGAATTAAGTACGTAACCAGAGGTACCACTGTAGTACAGTCATACCTCGGGTTACAGACACTTCTGGTTGTATATTTTCGGGTTGCGCACCGCGCCGAACCCGGAAATACCAGAACAGGTTATTTCCGGGTTTCGGCGCTCACACATGCGCAGAAGTACTAAATCGCACTTTGCGCATGCACAGAAGCGCCAAATCGTGACCCGTGCGTGCGCAGACACGGCACTGCGGGTTGCGCACTTGCCTCCCGCACGGATCATGTTCGCAACCCAAGTGTCCACTGTATAGCCTAGGAACAGACTAGAGTACAGTCCAGGAATAGCTTTGCCACCTCATCTGCTATCACAACTAGGCCTACAAGCCAAAAGGAATCTGAATGATCTACCCCCAAACATTCTGCAATATAGACTACTTGAAAACTGCTGAGGGTCTGAGTGGGCCACTTAATTATCTTTCTGCCTGATGTAGCAGTTGTAATGAGCTGTTCCATGTAATAAAATAAAAACAGCTTGCTGGAACATAACAATGGCCCATCTAGTGTCATGTAGAGGTTAGCCTGGGAGTCAAGGGTTCAAACCCCCACTCAACCATGAAGTTCACTGGGTGACCTTGATCCAATTGTTGCCTCTCAGCCTGACTTACCTCACAGGGTTGTTTGTCTACTTATTCATTTATAAAATACTGCTGTATCATAAATACATCATAGCAGTTTACAATAGAAAACCATAAAAAGTTAAAAGCAAACCAAAAGCAAAAGAATTAAAAAATAACATCAGAACCCCACAGTAGGGGGATGTACTCTGAAATGCCCACATAGAAAAGTCTTCTGTAGGCACTTAAAAGTTGGCACAGAAGGTGCCCGGTTACATTTTATTAAATTGTCAAAAATTTCACATGTACACTCCAATACATAATAATTTTTTCTTTTGTTTTGCAGACTTCCCACCCCGTTTTCCACGGTGTTTTTTAATTTATCCCCTCCTTGCTGCACCCTATCGTCTCACTCTTATAACAATCCTGTAATCTCCCGATTCCTTCTGCTACTCATAGTTCAAATCCTGCTCACAGACCTGATCTACTCTGATAGCTTGCAGATAATTTCAGTTGTAAATCTATGAATGGGGAGGTTTGGGCCCTCAAAGCATTGTCAGACTCCCCAAGTCCCATCAGCTCCAGCTGACATGGTCAGACCACAGAAGACGTAGCTCAACAACTCTTGCAGAGTCACAAAGTCTCGCCCATCTGTGTTTCAGATAAAGGCTCTTCTCCAGCTATGTGACCCAACCTTCAGGGTGGCCTTCAGGGATGCTGGACTGCAGCTCCCATCACCTTTGGCCAGCATAACCAATAGTCAGGGAGTTGTAAGCCCAGAGATGTGAAGAACACCCGGTCAGGAAGGCTGCCATACATACAGTACTTCTTACAGCTTCAAAGCAGGCATAGGCAAACTCCAGCCCTCCAGATGTTTGGGACTACAACTCCCATCATCCCTAGCTAACAGGACCAGTGGTCAGGGATGATGGGAATTGTAGTCCCAAACATCTGGAGGGCTGGAGTTTGCCTATGCCTGCTCCAAAGGCTTGCATCACTGGGGCTGTCAATGCTGACCGCCTGTTTGAAGGAGATATGGAACTTCTGCCAGCTCCCTCTTCTGCTGCTAAATAGGCAATTGGCCGGATCAGGGATAACAAAGTTGACCTTAAAAGATCAGGCTGCACTTGTGGTTTTCTGATCCAGTTGTGCTGACCATGAGTAACACACCAGCACATGAAAGTGTGATACCTGGATTGCAACAAAAGAGTACACATTGAGGAGTTTTTTTTATGATACAGGTACATTTCATATGGGGCGCGGGTGGCGCTGTGGGTTAAGCCAGAGAGCCTAGGACTTGCCGATCAGAAGGTCGGCAGTTTGAATCCCCGCGACGGGGTGAGCCCCCGTTGCTCAGTCCCTGCTCCTGCCAACCTAGCAGTTCGAAAGCATATAGAAAGATAAATAGGTACCGCTCCGGCGGGAAGGTAAACGGCGTTTCCATGCGCTGCTCTGGTTCGCCAGAAACAGCTTAGTCAAGCTGGCCACATAACCCGGAAGCTGTATGCCAGCTCCCTCAGCCAATAAAGTGAGATGAGCGCCACAATGGGACCTAATGGTCAGGGGTCCCTTTACCTTTACCTTTCATATAGTACACACAACAGGTCTTTGAGATCAAAGCAGCCTTAACTGCAGCAAACTCAAGATGCAAACTTCAAAAAAAAACCTTTATCAAAACATAGGAAAGGGGGAACAGGAATCCTAGCTACTCTGGGACATTCTCCCCAAAGCCAAAAACTCATTTCATTAGGTCCTGAAAGCTACTCTTAAAATGAATGTGACCTACCATCCCCTGTTGTGACCCTCCAGGCAAAAACTCAGCCCACCAGTCATACATTGTGCTCTGCCACGGGCTTGGCAACCCCTCGGTTTTCAGCCTGATGGGTCAAATGATGTCACAAGCGGTGTCAGGCCTGCAGTCTGCACACACAGAAAGAATGGAAGTTAATATGGGAAGCAATTGGGGCCACTTCACACAACAGGATACACTTATTTGCAAGGTTAGGATACACTTATTGCAAGGTTGCAAGTGCAAGTTTGTTGCATTCTAAGGATCACACTCAAAGCTTCTTCTGAAACACTTCATTTAAAAAAAAAGAAAACCAAAGGGGACTTATCTGACAGTGAGGATTCACTAGGGCTCCTTTCCAAACTTAGACTTGGTGGCAAACTCAGGTTTTCCCCCAGGCAATGTGCAGAACATCCCTGATAAAGACTTTCCGAAGCAGTAACCTCAGATCAAAGAGACATTGCCTTCTCCCCACCATAAAAGAACGCAATAAAACAACCACCAAAATCTAACCACAACACCAGATGCTTTTCTGTAATATTTTATTTATATAGAAATACTTAAAAAAACATGAAGTAGCACCATTACTTAAGTTTTACCTTTATTATGTAGAACTTTAAATGTCAGAAAAATAAAACTCTTGATACAATTTCAAATCTTGTCTCAGCAAATATAATATTAGTATCTGACCATGAGGTTAAAGGCCCTTTATCATAAAATAAAATATACTTTGTTTTTAAACTTTGCTCAGTAAAGTACATTTAAGATCAAGTAACATCACCTACATATACATAAACAAGTGGTAAACAAATGTATTAAAATAGAAATACTAAACTATAGTGGTGCAACAGAATTTTTTTGTAATTTCCACTGAATTCTATTTATACAAATGTTAGAAAGCATCAACAGTTCCTTTTGACTTATGCTTAAACGCTTCCATTTTTTTGTAATAATATAGAATAAAATATGCTTTATATCACTGAATAGAAAATATGCTGGGTGAAGCAGATTTAAAAGATTTCTTTTTTCTGAACCTATAAAAAATCTCCATCCCAACAGAATACTGTTCAAAGTATTACACATTTTATGGTTTTGCAATTCCATTCACAATTGTGTGATAGTAAAATAATACAGTGTTCTTCGCCATAAGGCCATACCAAAAAATAAAAAAGATTTAACCCAGCTACAAAAAAGTTCACTGAACTTAAATTAAAATACTTGTAAACATCTTTGCAATATGAAATATAATTTTTCAAGTCAAAAAAGAATAAAATACTTCAATCTGTATTAATGCAATTTATCTTTAAAACCTTTAAACGTTTTAATATATATAAGAGATATGTTACAGTTTCCTTTTTTTCTTCTTTTTTTCTTTGATAAAGCTGCAGTATCATAAGTTCATTATTATTATTATCATCATCATTATTATTATTATTAAAAATTCACAGGAAAAAATCTTGCCCTTTCGAGAACATTCAAGAAAAGTTATCCATCCATAGATTTATTTCTCAATAAGCAATCTACCAACTACCAGCACATTATACTAACTGTTCACACGCCATCATAATCCATATGCATTTCCTATTTTAATTTGGGGGGGAGGGAGAAAAAGAGAAGAGAGGAGAGAGAGAGAGAGAGAGAGAGAGAGAGAGAGAGAGATCATTTGATTTGGAAGCTTGGCCTTAAGAGAAAGTGTAAAAACTAGTCTATTACTAGAATGTCGTTCCTTAATATTTATAGCATGCACCAGGTGTCACAAACATCCCCCTTAAACCCATTCCTAAGCTACGGCACACTCAAGAATGCAAGGAAACAAAAACAGAAGTTATTTTTTCAAAAACCAAGATGGTCACCATCCTGCAAAACGTCAGGTTCCCCCCCACCCCGTCCCCCCACTCTGTTATTATTTATATTATTTTTGGGATGTGCGGATACTGCAGCTTTAAAAGCTCGACACAGATATTATATATATTTATATGCATGTATATAGGCAAGTAGAAGACCTTTTGAAGAAGAGGAGGTTGCTTGTCTGTGGGGGGAGGGAGAGAGAAAGAGGGAGCATAGGAGCCAACTCCGAGAGGTCAAGGTCCCTTTGCCCCCCCAATAAAGTATTTGAGGGAGCTGGGCCCCCCAAAAGTTTATGGGGTGCATCACAGGAGCCAACTCTGAGGGGTCTTTGCCCCCATAAAATAATTGATGGGGCGGGCCCCCTAAAATTGGTGGGCATTGCCCTTCAAATGGGGTGCATGCACCGCATCATGTGATCAATGACGTGGGGCGGGGCTTGCCGGGGCCCCCAATATTTCATTCAAGTTGGCACCCCATGCCTTGCGATCCATTATGCAGGGTGCAGCTGGCCTGGCACACGTCTACACCCATTTTTTAATTCAAGTTGGCACCCATGAGAGGGAGGGAAGGAGAGAGGGAGGGAGGGGTCGCGCTTTGGGGACCCTTAGGAAAAGATCCGGATGGCCTGAGTGACGGCGCTGTGGCACACGGGGCACTGGGGCTCCGTCTTCTCGCAGATGCGGTTGGCACACTCCATGCAGAAGAGGTTGTGGCCGCAGGGCACCAGCGCCGCGATCACCTCGCTCTCGAAGCACACGGAGCAGTCGCGGCTGCCTTTCCTCCGCAGCCCCGACGACGAGCACGACGAGCTGGAAGAGGAGCTGGACGAGGAGGAGGACGAGGCCGACGAATCCGACGGCAGGCCCGGCAAGTGGCAGCCCAGCCCGTTGGCGTACAGAGGGTAGGAGCAGGGCGACGACGACGACGACGGGGCGGACGGCGAGGAAGCGGCTGCAGCGGCCGCGGCGGCGGCAGCAGCGGCGGCCACGGCTGCGGCGATGAGGCGGCCGCCCGGGTCGCTGCGCACCCGCCGCGCCAGCGGGTGCTGCTCCAGCGCCACGCCTCCCGCCCCGACGTGCAGAGGCGGGGAAAGGCGCGTGGGAGGGGGAGGAGGCGGGGGCGGAGGCGGCCCGGCGCCCCGCCTCTGCCCTCCGCTGCTCACCAGCAAGGCCAGGTTGGCGTTCGACGGAGGCGCGCCGCCGCCACCGGCGGGAAACGCGACGGCTCCGGGCGACGAGGGCCCGCGCTCGAACTGCGACCAGAGCAGCGGCGCGCCGGGCGGAGGCGCCGGCGCCAAGTCGAAGCCGGGCGGGGAATCGAAGGGCGGCAGCTCGGAGGCGCAGCAGTCGGGCGACGAGAGCACCTCTCCGCCGCCATAGACGCCGTAGCCGTTGTTGTTGTTGTTGCCGTTGTGGTGCGGGAAGCTGAGCGACGGGCTGGGCGGGCTGTAGTCGGCCAAGCGGGCGCTGCTGCCGCCGCTTCCTCCGACGCCATTGCCGAAGTACGAGTCGGTGGAAGCGCTGCCCAGCGAGCTGGAGCTGTCGTTGCGGTAGCTGCAGAAGGGCTTGCGGCCCGGCGTCGGGGTGATGCTGGAAGAGGAGGGCGGCGGAGGGGGCGGCGGCGGAGGAGGGGGCGGCGGCGGAGGGGGCGGCGTGGGCTTGCTCCAGAGGCTCCCGGCGCCGCCGGCGGCCAGCTCGAAGCCCACGTCGGTGCCGTTGGCGTGGAAGTCGTTGTCGTCGGTGAGCTCGATGATGCCGCCCGTGCGCATGGCGATGTGCGCCTCGATCTCCTCCCGCGCGCGGTCCACGTTCTCCGGCATGCCGGTCACCTCGAAGACGGGCTCTTTGTCGCGGCTGGGAGTCACGATGTAGGTGTGCGTCTGCTGCTGGATGCGCTTGATGGTGGCCCCCTTGGGCCCCACCACCAGGCCCACCACCCGGTAAGGGACCCGCACTTGGATGGTGGTTTGGCCCGGCAGGTTGGGCGGGCTGGGCACCGTGCCGTTGAGCACGGTGTTTTTGTTCCGGGAGGCGCGGATCATGGAGAAGTGTTCCGCCGCCGAAATGATCTCCCTCCGGGCCATGGCCACATCTTCCTTCCTGCCCGTGACAACGAAGAGCGGCTCCTCCCCGCGGACCGGGGTCTTGATGTAGGTGTTGGTTTTGGCCCGCAACGCTTTGATTTTACAACCTGAGATAAGGCGGGGGGGGGGAGGGGAAGGGCGAGAGAAGGGGAGGGAGGAAAAAGGGGAAGGAAACACGGTTACATCTACTCCAGCTTTTCGGGGTGCAACAACGGAACGAGGGGGGGGGCCACCAAGCCAACCTGCCTCTTGGTCCAACATTTCATCCACGTCGAGTTCCATTTGCAAGTCATCACAACCATGCCAGCTTTTTGACACAGGAACACACCCATCTCCGCACCTCGAACCAACCAATATTCCCATTGGCCAAAACAAACAAACAAACAAAAGCCCCCAAACGTTATTTGCCCAGGATCTCGGAGATAATAAGTTGCAGGGGGGTGGGGCGGCAGAGAGGCAACAATACCAAAAGACCTCCCCACACCCAACGCAACCACGCTATGAGACGCGAAGTGAGCGGCCACATTGCATCCATCGCAAGCGGGCAACCCAAATATGCAACGCCCCCTTTATATATATATATATAATAAAATTAATAAAACCACACTCGTGCTCCGCACATTTCAGGGGAAGGGAAGGGGGTCTGGGGGAGGGGGTGGTAGCAAGATGACATAGACAGACACACCGAGAAATACAAAAAGGTACCAGCAGCAGCCCTCTTGAAGACACCCGCTTCGTAATGCAGATGCTTTGAACCTAACCCCCCCCCATTGTTCACCTCCTTGCCCGTTGCCTGTAAGGAAACACCCATCGATTCCTAACTATTGACAAATAAAGGCGCGCGCACTGACCAGCATCCGCTTGCATTTTTGCGCACACAGAATCAAATCAAAAGGGGTTTTTTTAGGGCATAAAAGGGGGAGGGGTTGTGCTGCGAGATGAGGCGCAAACATCTGGATGCGAAAGGCGTCCTCCACCTCTGCTCTGCTTCACTTTCTTTGTCTAGAGTGGAAGTGGCGGCGGCGGGGGAGGGAGGGAGGGAGAAGGGTGTCGAGAAGAGGCGGCCAGGTTAGCCATCATCACAAACCCTGCAATTTGGACTCGAGGGGGCGAGCCGTGTTGGCATCTCGGAGGCAAACGGCATCCACAGAAACCCAGGGAGGAGACGGCAGCTAGAGAGAAGCAGCAAAAAACCTCCCCTCGATTCCCACCCACCACACATCTCTCTCTCACACCACACACACACACACACAAAGACGACCGAGCCAAGCCCCCACCTTGCCTGCCCACGATCTCGGCGACATGCTCCGAGCTGGGCACCGGGACGCATTCGGTCATGTTCACGCTCTTCTTGCGCGGCTCGTTGTCGTAAAGGGAGCCCGTCTCGTCGTTGTCCAAGCCCAGCAGGGAGAGCTGATCCAAAGCGATCTGAAGGGCTCTTTGGTCATCCAGGGTCTCCCCGCCTCCTCCTCCTCCACCGCCGCCTCCTCCGCTCCCATTCCTCTCCATGTCGGCAAACAAGGAGCTGGGCATAGTCCCGGGTGGATGTGGGGGGATCGCGCCCTCCGCTTCCTTTCCCTCCTGCGCTCTCGGATCAGGAGTGGGGGGCGGGGGTGGGGAGGGAGGGAAGCAGGGAAGGGAAGCAGCACCAACACACACACACACACCAGGAGAAGGGGGGAGCTGGAAGGCAGACACAAAGGAAACAGGCAAGGCAGATGGCCAGCAAACGGCAGGCGAGGAAGCGGTTGGAGAAGCCCGGCAAGCAGATCCTGGATGCTGGCTCAGAACAAAACAAAACGGGCAAAAATGCTCAGATTGTAAATTCCTTGCGCGCCGCTTGAAAAAAGGAGAAGAAGCCCCCCTCCAGTGCAATCCGGTTTATAAGATGCTTTCCAAGAAAAGGAGAAAAAAATACCCCACCACGACTCCCCCCAAGCTTTTCCCTTTTTCTTCTTCTTCTTCTTCCTCCTCCTCCTTGGGGGGGGGCGCGGGGGGGGGCGCGTGCAGAGAATAGAGAGAAGCGCTCCGGTGCTTTTGGCTCCCCCCCTTGAGTTCCTTTGCTGGCCGCGATGGCAGGCGTTTCTTTAAGGAGCCCCTCCCAGCTTCCACTCACTCAGCGATTTCTCTCTCTCTCTCTCTCTCTCTCTCCTCCTCTCCCCCTTTCTTTCTCTCTCTCTCGCTCGCTTTCTCCTCCTCCTCTTTTCTGTCTGAGCCTCTGCTGCAGCCAGACAGCGCTGGGGAAAGGGGAGCGGGGGAGGGGAGGAGAAATCAGAGCGCCGCAGCGTAAGCGGCCGGGAAAAGCGAGCGAGCCGAGGGGAGCCGCCGACAGCGCCGCTGGAGGAGCCGATTCGATTGGCCGGGCCCGGCGGAGGGGGGCGGGCCGGCTGGGCTGCTTGGCCCCGCCCCTCTAAGGCAAGGCTCCTTTTCTTTGTTGTCTAATGCAGAACAATAAAGGAGGGGTGGTGGAGAGAGAGAGAGAGAAGATCCAGAAAGAAAGAAAGAAAAAGCAACCCTGTCGATCTGTCTATGTACACATAGGAAATCTTCCGCGCATTCATCAAGTCAACGCGGACCCAACATGACACTTAATGGCTCTTGCGGCATTGCAAACGGAGCGCTTGCAAACCCGTTTCCCATCCGGAAAAGGGGGTTCGTTTCTCCTCGTTCCCCAAGGGATCTCTCTCTATCCATTCGGGGTGCGGTGGTTTTTACGCAGGGATGAGAAAATGCTGGCCCCGAGTGATGGGTGGAGTGAAGGAGGGGCATTTGCGCCGGCCCAAGGAGCCACGCGCGGCGCTTCCTGCGAGCAGCACCGGCAGCAGAGGGGAAGGCAGGAGGGGTGTGGCTTGGGCTGACAGTGTCCCTTTAAAAAGAAAAAAAAAGAGGGCGCCTAACCTTCCGATGGGAAAAAAGAGGAACAATCTAAACTGCAGAAGAAAGCGGGGTTTTAATTGCAGCCGGGGGAACCCCTGGGTCCCGCCCCCCGCCACACACGCACACCTTTCCTCCTTTTTAATTTGGATGCCTGCAACGGGGTGTGTGTGTGTGTGTGTGTGTGTGTGTGTGTGTGTGTCAAGCGATAACCTCTGAGCATGTGCAAAGCGGCGTGCGCTCTCCCCGCTCGCATTCGGGGGCGTTGGGTGGGAGAGGTTTCCAGGTCAGAGGGGCGTGGCCTCTCCGGGGGGACTTGACAGATCAGAGGGACGCCTTCTCTTTCTTTCTTTCTTTCTTTCTTTCTTTCTTTCTTTCTTTCTTTCTTTCTTTCTTTCTTTCTTTCTGCAAACATAAACTGCGGCGCAGCGCAAAGAACGCTCAACTTGGAACGCGTGCTCGCACGTGCACACGTGCACAAAAACAAAGGCGAGCTGCGATCGCGGGTTGGCCTGAGGAGCGCGCGTCCAGAGCAAAACAAATACCTCCAACGCAGCCGCTTGAAACAGCGGGCACGCCCATCCTTAGCCCTTCGCAGCGACAAAAAAAATGCGAGCAAAACCATTTGCGCCTCATACGAGTCATTTCTGGCGAGCGCTTCTTTGTTGTTAACCAGCAAAAATTCTCAACTTGCAAAGGGGGGGGGGGAGGCGGGAAGCATCCCTAACTCTCCTCCTGATTGGAAGAGTGCCCTTCTGCGCTTGCGCCCCGAAGGGTGTTTTGTATTTATTTTATTTATTTATTTTTGTTTCCCCGCGCCTGCGCACAGGTCGCCTTCCTCTCCCACCGTTTGAGGGTTTGTACGGACGGAGTGGGAGGGATGCGCGCTGCTTTCCATTCAAGTCGCTGGCGGAGGAGGGGGCGTGGCTTCCTTTGCCGGAGGTTCTGGCTCCGCCTTTGGGAGCCACGTGCACTTTGGGCTGGCAAAGAGGAGGGAGGAGCCTTTTGGGCAGGGAAAGGGGCGGGTCCTCAGCGACACTTTGTAGCCTGGAGCAGACAAAGAATGCCAGCATCGCGCAGTTGCAGGCTTAGTGCCTTCTCTCCGCAAGCGTCGGATGGTGAACGACTCGCGCTCGCTTCTGGATTAAAGCTGGGGACACGCCTGAGCATCTCATCCCTGAAGAATATTTGCTCCTAGGCAGGGCTGAGCTGCAGCTCTTTGTATCTGCATTATCTATTTAACAGATGCATTTCACGAAGTCCTTTGCTGCCTTCCCTGACGGTTCAAAATGACAGGTGTTTTTGCATGCAGGCAGAAGGTCCCTGGTTCAATCGTGGCCAACACCAGAAAAGGGCTATGGAGGATCCCTGCCTGTCAGAGTTCTCAGGATTAATAATAATAATAATAATAATAATAATAATTTATTTATTATGTATACCCCACCCATCTGGCTGGGCTTCCCCAGCCACTCTGGGCGGCTTCCAACCAAATTTTAAAATACAGTAAAGTGGTACCTCGGGTTAAGTACTTAATTCATTCTGGAGGTCTGTTCTTAACCTGAAGCACCACTTTAGCTAATGGGGCCTCCTGCTGCTGCTGCGCCACCAGAGCACAATTTCTATTCTCATCCTGAAGCAAAGTTCTCAACCCGAGGTAATATTTCTGGGTTAGCGGAGTCTGTAACCCGAAACGTATGTAACCCGAGGTACCACTATAATACATCAAACATTAAAAGCTTCCCTAAACATTCCCTTCAGATGTCTTCTAAACGTTTGGTAGTTGTCGTTCTCTTTGACATCTGGTGGAAGGCCTTTCACAGGGCAGGCACCACTACCGAGAAGGCCCTCTGCCGGGTTCCCTGTAACTTGGCTTCTCACAGTGAGGGAACCGCCAGAAGGCCCTCAGCACTGGAGCTCAGTGTCCGGGTAGAACGATGGGGGTGGAGACGCTCCTTCAGATATACAGGACCGAGGCCATTTAGGGCTTTAAAGGTCAGCACCATCACTTTGAATTGTGCTCGGAAACGTACTGGGAGCCAATGTAGGTCTTTCAAGACCGGTGTTATGTGGTCTCAGCAGCCGCTCCCAGTCATTCCTTGGTGGGGGAAATCGTATGCGTTAAATGTGTCCGCAGCCAAAACATCACCATTGGTGCATTATGACCAACAGACCAAAAATGAAGCCATACCATGGTGGTAGTGAGTCTTCAGGCCGAATCAGGACAACCCGTTTGGTCTGTGAGGCCATATCAAATGAGCCACAGACCACAGCAGTATAGGATGTTTTCCAAACTGTGTGTTGCGACACAGTGTGTCTGCTGCACTGTGTAAGGTGTATTTCACGAACACTCCCTACCCTCCTCCCGGGGCTGGAAAGGGGTTTGTTTAACCTCTGGCTTGCTAGTAAAACTGAATTAGGTAAAGGTAAGGGGACCCCTGACCATTGGGTCCCGTCGTTACCGACTCTGGGGTTGCGGTGCTCATCTCACTTTATTAGCCGAGGGAGCCGGCATACAGCTTCCAGGTCATGTGGCAAGCATGACTAAGCCGCTTCTGGTGAACCAGAGTAGCGCACAGAAACACCGTTTACCTTCCCGCTGGAGCAGTACCTATTTATCTACTTGCACTTTGACGTGCTTTCAAACTGCTAGGTTGGCAGGAGCAGGGAGCAAGCAACGGGACCTCACCCCGTCGCGGGGATTCAAACCGCCGACCTTCTGATCGGCAAGTCCTAGGCTCTGTGGTTTAACCCACAGCGCCACCCGCTGTGTCACAAAATGATGAAATGTCTAAAAAGTGTGTCGCCAACATTAAAATTTTGGAAAGCTCTGCTGTAGAGTGTAGGGCAGGTAAAGACATGGCTCCTTGCTGAAAGCGGGATTTGCATGCACTGACAGTGGCAAGTGTCAACAGTCACGGCAGCCCTTAGATGGCTGTCTGAGCACACTGGTCACTTGGCGCATAGCACTTTCGCCTGCACAATTTGATTTCTAGTTGCACAAGCAAAGAAAAACTCGCTTCTTGATGTCATTGCCTCACCTACCTGCCAGTGTTGGCCCTCGAGGATGGAAGAGGTCAAGGAGTCAGCTGATTCTACACCCCTGTGTCATGCATGTTAATCTTAAGTACAGGGCAAAATATGAAGCAAGATATAAAGACCATCAGCTGCAGTACTGCATACCTACAAGATAGCAAGTGGCCTGAGTGGACTCCCTCCCAAAGGATCTTCCCAGCACATAAAGTATCCCCCTTAGACTTTGTTCTCAGTGGCACAATGGGGTGACCTTGGGCCAGCCACGGTTTCTCAGCCTGATCTACCTTGTATGGTAGCAAGGATGAAAGGGCACCTATTTGCCACCTGGAGCTCCTTGGAGCATTGGCAGGATTAACAACAACAACAACAACAACAACAATTTATTTATTTATACCCTGCCGTCAAACAGTAAAAGCTTCCCTAAACAGGGCTGACTTCAGATGTCTTCTAAAAGTCTGGCAGTTGTTTTTCTCTTTGACATCTGGTGGGAGGGCTTTCCACAGGGTGGGTGCCACTACCAAGAAGGCCCTCTGCCTGGTTCCCTGTGACTTGGCTTCTCGCAGGGAGGGAACTGCCAGAAGGCCCTTGGCACTGGACCTCAGTGTCTGGGCAGAACGATGGGGGTGGAGACGCTCCTTCAGGTATACTGGACTGAGGCTATTTAGAGCTTTATAGGTCAGCACCAACACTTTGAATTCTGTTGAATTATTTATATAAACAAATAATACCTAAATGTGTGGAACCAGTTGCACAGAAAAGCAATCCAAGAAAACGCATTTGCAGCTGTTATTGTGAAAACTAAAGCTCTTGTGGCACCTTGATAGAACTGGCATCTTTCTTCTTGGCGTAAGCTTCTATAGACCGCACTCTGCTTCCTCAGACATGTGAGAAGCAGTGCCCTCTTTGTCTAGCAACTGGGAATAAATGGTACTTTTAAGCCTGGTGTGGCTAACCCTTTTTGCCCTGGCGGGGCATATTCACCCTTGGCCAATCATCCGTGGTCTGTATGCCAGTAGAGGGTGCGGCTAAACATATTAAAATATACTCGGAGTCGAGAGTGGATTTCATGCTCTTTATTCGGCTCGTAGTGGTGAGGAGGAATGGAAGTTCCCCCAGAATGTCTGCTTTATCTACATTATTTGCACAATGGGCACCACGTGATTGGCTAGATCCAGGATTCACCTGTAGGCCAATTAGGTTGCGGATTCACTTCCACCTGGAGCTGTATTGGGTGGCTCCTGTGGACCAATCAGACTGCTGCATTCTGAATCCTATTGTTCTAGGACCAATCACACTGCTGCATTCTGAATCCTATTGTTCTAGGACCAATCAGACTGCTGCATTCTGAATCCTATTCAACTCTGTACATAACGCATCTGGTGTAGCCAGGTGTTGCTGGACTAGATCTCCCACCATCCCTGACCATTGACCATACTGGCAATGGAGGATGGGGGTTGGAGTCCATGTGGATAGCACCATGTTGGCCAAGTCTGGCGTGGCCATTCCATGCACACACTCCTTTTGCAGGAACAGGTACACAGCCAGACCCCCTCAGCTGGTCCATGCCCCCTTCCCACTCAGAAGATGATGGAGCTGGTAAGCAGGGACTGGGCAGTCTGCATCCCCATCATGGTGCTAGACTGAGCAGAGGTGCTTAAAAGATTCAGAATTGCTTGGGGAGACAGATCTGAGATGTACTACACCTTTTCTAAGACTATCACTTAGGGTTGCCATATTTCATAAAGTAAAAAATCAGGATACCCTGAAAGTTATTAAGCATTTTTTAAAGAAAGACTAATGGGACGCGGGTGGCGCTGTGGGTAAAAGCCTCAGCGCCTAGGACTTGCCAATCGAAAGGTTGGCGGTTCAAATCCCCGCGGCGGGGTGCGCTCCCGTTGCTCGGTCCCAGCGCCTGCCAACCTAGCAGTTCGAAAGCACCCCCGGGTGCAAGTAGATAAATAGGGCCCGCATACCAGCGGGAAGGTAAACGGCGTTTCCGTGTGCTGCGCTGGCTCGCCAGATGCAGCTTGTCACGCTGGCCACGTGACCCGGAAATGTCTGCGGACAGCGCTGGCTCCC